TCCGCAGACTCTTGTCACAGTTGACAGGGAGGTTGTGCACATAGAGGAGGTTGAAACTGGGCTGAGGGAGGGGAGGAAGAGCCTGTCTGGTTTGTATAATTTACACTTACAAAATTAAAGCAGCAGTCTTCCTTTTAGTTGAAAAACATGGCTGAGAGTGCTATCGGTTAGAAAATTTTTAATGATCGCTTAAAAAAAAAAAAAAAAAAGAAAAAAAAAGCGTAAATAAATCATTGATGAAATTCATATTCCAGCAGCCTCACTTTCGGCCATATTGCTAAGTCCGTACTAAAATGAAACTCTCCTTGGTTACTTTTGCCAGCACCCACTTACCTTATTTACAGAGTAGATCAAAAAGTTTTTAAATGAAGCATTTGTGAGGCCTACCTGTGCTTTGACAAGCACGCGTGGTGGCAGATCAGCTGTGATCTCCTGAAAGGCCACATGGCAGTGGGCGTGCTGCATTAGGGCTGAAGATGTATGGTTGCCATGGACCAGGATCACCTGGAAACCATGCCGATGACGCAGGTCACTCAGCTCACTTGCAAAGTTCACATCCGCTGTTAACAATGAAAGATAACACTTGTTGTCACAAAATCTAGTTTGGCATCAAGGCGGCAGTTTATTATAGTGAATCTGAGCTGAACTCACAAGATACCAGTACAACAGTTGCAGGTGCAGTGTGGGTCTCAGCAAAGCGCCGTAGGCTCTGGCGAAGCTTGTCATCTGCTGCATTCTTGGCGGTGGCATTGATATGTGCAACAGTGACCTGATCAAAAATTTTAAAAAAAGACAGATGACGTAAATACTGTAGCTTCAGCTTACTTAATAGTAAATGTTCTCCTGTTGTTGCTGCACAGGATCAACTCTGCCAATCAAAACTGTAGCCCAATGGCAGATAACTTAATTTAGGGTGTGAATGGCACTCATTATTTGTTATAGTGTAACCATTAAAATAAAAGATATTACTGCTGGTACCTGGCAGTTGTTGAGCTCTTGGATAACAGCTTTACTCTCTTTGCTGATATCACAGACGCAAATGAATTCTGCCTCTCGGTGGCCCTGAAAGAAGCGGCTGCGGATACGCTGGACAACAGCTCCAGCAGAGCGTCCGCTGGGCACGCTGCAGTTCTCTATGTCCCAGAAAACACCCACCGGAGGGATGTTCTCAGGACCACTATTCTCTGGAGAACCTAGCAGACAGTTAAACAACCATTCTAAAAACACACTTTAACAGTTGTAAAGCACTTTATACAAAGTTAATTGATTGTCATTGCAGTTAAAATGGATGGAACAACATTTCTTATACACTGCACTCAAATCCCAAAGAGCTTGCTAATTTTTTTTTGTTGGCCTTTTCATGCCTTCATTAGATAGGGACAGCCGAAGATAGACAGGAAAGCTGGGTAGAGAGAGGGGATGACACGCAGCAAAGGGCCGCAGGTCGGATTCGAACCCGGGCCACTGTAGCAACTCTGCATATGGGTCGCCAGGTCTATCAACTGAGCTAACCAGGCACCCAAAGAGCTTGCTATTTTTAACAGTCCTCTGAAGATATTTAATCGGACATAAAATTCTAGTAAAAAAATAAAATAAAAATGTATCCACTGACCATACTTCTGCCCAGTCTTGCCAAGGCTGGTTGATGGCATGAGCATCATGCTATCAGAGGAGGTGCCACAGCCATTACAAATGGGTATAGGGATAGGAGTAGTCTGGGGAACAGGAACATTGGGCCACACCTTGTCCGACTCTGACGGCAGACCATTCGTGGGCTACAAATACATACAAATCAAAACATTTGGCAGGGAACACAGAAATAAAACAATGGCAAGTAATACTACCAAATGCACTGTACAAAATATAAAGCCAGTCTAAAATTACATGACTGAGGCCATCCATGCATACTGAATACCCACAGTGATCTTCATGGCACACAAATACAAAAGAAGGGTGCTACCAACCTTCAACAGGCACTCCTGGCAGTAGTGTGCCCCCTTCACACAAACCGTGCGTTCTACATTCAGGTGCATAGGATTAGAGCAGAAGTGTGCTGAGGTGGTTGTAGTGGTGATGGTGGTGGTGGTTGGGTGATCACCGAGTGTGCTTCTCTGGGATCTTCTGTCTGATGGGCAACAGTCCACACCGCATGTGTAGTAGCCAGAAGAGGCCAGGCAAGAGCCATGCAAGTGAGCGGGTAGAGAGGAAACACAGGGGAGAGAGGAAGCCAGAGGTGCTGAGGAGGGAAACAGGCTGGGTTGACTGCATGGAAGAGGTACAGATGGGTAGGTGTGGAGAAGCCCTGAGCAGCAGGAGAGGTAGGGGTGTGATGAAATAGGCTGAGAGGTAGCGACTGAAGGTACCAGCTGAGGTTTGTAACCAAGACTGAGCAAAGGATCAAGAACTTCACCTTCACTTCTACAGCTCAGGTTACTTTTATACTGATGAATAGAAGAAGCTAAAGAGCAAGAGCCAGACCTGCTAATACTACTGCTGCTGCTGCTGCTGATGGTGGTGGGTGCTCCCACAGAGCTTGGGGCCATATAGAGCGAGACAACACCAGCAATGCTGCTACAGCTACCAACAACACCTCCGCCACTTAATAACCCATAGCCATCTGTACTACAATAGTCACATTGAGTGCAAAGGCTTACTTTGGGGCTAGCCCCCTCTTGTTGCTGCTGTAGTGGTTGTTGGTGAGAGTCTTGAGTAAGCTGAGGAGGAGGCAAGCAGGGAGGGGGCAAAGGGAGTGGGGCCAGAGAGAAGGGCTGGGATGATTGGGAAGAGGAAGTATGGTGCGGAGGAGGAGGGACATCTTTCAATTCCAGCACAGCCTTTCTGTTGTCCATGTAATTGTTCTGGAACAAAAAAAGATGCGCAGATTATTTTACATTAAGGATTTCCTGTGGACTATAGTTTGGTATTATGGAAGTATGTTGTTCTACTGAGTTACAATGTTAAGAAAACACAATGGTTATTGTCTGAGGAAATTTAGACAGTAACTTAACCACCATCCTAAAATACACAAGGGGGAGCACTAACATTGCTCTATGGCCGGCACTTTGATGAAGATAGCTGCAGATGTGTCTGCAGACAATTTCTGTTTAACAGCTGATGCTGATCATCTTAAAATGAGAGATAATCAGCCGACCAATTAATCAGTCTTTTACTAGCAGATACCTGGACTGTACACAGATAAGTGCATACTTCAGTATCCGTGTGATGAAGGGATGTCGTCTCATTGGCGGAGAAGCAGTCTTTGGGTTTCCATAGCAGGGTTGAGGCCTCTGTTTTGGGGTGACTGAGCCATGGGTAGGGTCTAGAGCTGCATATGGATCTCTCCTTTCCCAGTCCTTCCATCATACAACCCAGAGAGATCTTTCACCATACTTTCATCTCTCTCTCTCTCTTTTCTCTCATGCTTTCCTATGCAGAGGAAACGAAAGTTAAAAGTTGACACTAGTTAGTTGCGGTTACATCACCTCTCAATGACCCGGTGCGTTTGTATTCCCGTTCACATTAGACACAAAAACAGTCCTTACTAAGTCATCTATGAAAGCACCGGTCGTGCAATGGCGTTTGACTTAACACACTAAGTAACTGCGCTTTAAATGAACAAAGGAGTCCTGGTGTGTGTGTGTGTGTGTGTGTGTGTGTGTTTATCACGTTTAAACGCCTGTAAAGTTTGGACCGCGTATCCAAAGCTAACTACACCACAGTTGTTTTTCACCAAAGCGAATCATGTAAAACTGCCGACGTTCAGTTAGCTACAAGCTAGCTCACGTTAATGTCGTCTCTTTGCGTGTATGAATCGTTGTTTATGTCGGAGCTGGCTGGTTAAATAGCCACACTGCTACCTGAAATTAGCTAATTTATCGTTAACTGTTTGCCTTGAGCTAGCCTCAGATTTAAGCTAACAACAGGAACCATTAGCTTGTTTAACAGACACATAGCTACCTCCCCCACATGCTAGCGCCCATTGTCTTCACGGTAAAATCTATATTCTTTGGTAATGGCGAGGCATTTCCAAAACAGTTGGTTATTTAGCTACCTGAGAAGATCTCGTCTTTCACATCTTCCTCAAAGGACTGCTACCCCCACTATCTGTCGCCCTGGAAACGCGCACCTTTTTGTAACGTTCTTGTGCCACAAAGCGCGCACAGCTGTCGCAATGACATTGTTTGTTAGTGAACGATGAATGTGATTGAGAGTGAATTGGCTGCTTTTCACAATAAGATTTATTCTTTAAACTAGTTGTAATATACTGAATATCTTGTATTTTGTTTCAACAATATGTAATGGATTTTAATCATTTTGAGCGCATCATATTATACTGGGCTACAAAATGTGGGAGTGAAAGAATCATCCATTTGATCACTAATATGCTAATATGTTTATTTAGCCTATAGATATATGTCCCTAGAAATGATTATCGGACCTTACCATTATTTTTTTCTGTCAGTAGTAACTGTCTTGGGATTTGCCTTTCTCTGAACTGCAAATGTTGTCATTCAGTAAAAAGTGCATCAATATCAGAAGTTGAGTGTAAGTGCATTTACTCAAATAAACTGTGCAATTTCCATTTAAGGTACTTAAGCAGCTATTTCTACTTTAAGAGGCGAATATTGCACATATTCCTCAGATACATTTATTTTACAGCACACTTAACAGATTATAGATCAGTTAAAAAGTTTAAATGATGCTTTGTTACAGATTAAACCATCCAACAAGTATATAAATTAGACACAATTAGCTCTGTCTCGATTACCTGTAACACCATGCATCATTAATAATAATCCAGTAATATAATACTGTGAAGGAAGCCATTCTGCATACTGCATAACGAGTATGTACTCATTTGTATGTACTTATCACAATAATCTCAGCTATCATATTATTGCCTGTGACTAAACGTGTAGGATCTATTGTCTGGCAGGTGCACTTAAAGCTCCAGTAGCGCCCTCTAGCGGCTGGCAGGCAGCCAGTTCCCCCCTGTTGCCTGTGTGATGTCTGGGGTACTGTAACAGGACAGCAGGTCCAACCATCAGTCCCAGTAGTAAGTGGAGATGGCCGGGTAAACAATAACGCCTCAGTGTTTTATTTACTATACACATTTCTACACTGCGGGAGTTTGTTTTTTTAATTTATTATAGATTTTAACCTCGGGCAGTTCGTTTTCGGCTAATTGGAAAGAGACTGGCTCTTCCATCAATTAGACGACACCGGCTTTTTGTTCCCGTCAGTCATGGCGATTGCCCACGTAGCCACCGAATACGTTTTCTCCGACTTTTTGCTGAAGGACCCCACGGAGGCGAAGTACAAAGGGCTGCGTCTGGAGCTGGCGGCGGACAAAATAGTCACGTTTCTAGCGGTGGGGCTGCCTTTGTTTCTCATCTCGCTCGCATTTGCCCAAGAGGTGTCAGTCGGTGAGTTGTTGGATATGTGAGCCTCCATCGTCTGAGGTTATAATCCTTTGAATTTCATCACGTACGATAATAACAGAAGCTATGCAGCCAATGGAAACCCTGGCGGAGCTGCTTTGTTTATCCCCCTCTGCTACGTCTTATTTAGTTTCAATTAACCACACTTATATGCAGTGGTGGGTGAGGCAGGGTGACGTGTGCGCATGTAGTGGGGTTATATTCAGTAAATGGATAGAAGGAGAGGTGTGAATACTGGAGAAGGTGTGGTTTATGTCTCCACCCTTCTGCTTATCTCACGCCCAGACAGAGAGGCAGGCAGACACTGCTCCTGCTGCTCCTCCTCCTGCTGCTCCTCCTGCTGCTGCTGCTGCTGCTGATGATGATAATAATGATGGAAACTTTGGGCATATGGACATACTGACAGACACCTCTACATGTATTCTAATGAAGCCCTTGTAGATAAGCTGGTGCCATATGGACCCATGTTTACTGTAAAGATAGCTCACATGAATCGACAGAAGGAGATCTGCAAGGTGTCTCCCTCTTTAGTGTGAAAACACAATATCTACAGCCCCATGCGCTGTTTAATATACCTACATAATCTTCTTAGGTCATAATGCCCACAGTCTGTTGTTGTTATCTGCCAGTCCTGCTAGAGCCCCTTATACACAAAATAGGATGGATCCAACACACTGCAAGCCTTGAGTGGACTTTGATTACAAATAATGATAATCATAAAGTAAATGCACATTATGGCCAAAATCCAACATTGATTTTTACTTTTAAATCTAATCACAAAGGAGGAGATGCAGAGAGAGAGAGAGAGAGAGCGAGAGAGTAAGTACAAAGGCCTTTTTCACAGCAGACATTTTGACTTGTCTTAGTAGGAACATTGCTGGTGTTCCTAATAACATTAACAAGGGCTTCATTCTGTAGTAATCATTAATGTTATTATTTACACCTGTGCTTTTCCTACTGTGGCATATCGACCTGTCTGCTGTATGCGTGAAGGCCTATTGTGCAAAAGAGGAGGCTGCTTAGTTTCATACATCAGACAGAACAGACGTCTGTGTATAATTAGTGGGTAGTGAATTATTAAAATAACTCAACAAATCAAAATATGGAATGGAAAAGTGAAGCATATCTCCATCTCATAAGAAACTATGGAAGTTAAGCAAACTATGGTCTAAGTGTTGATTGTTTTTAATGCCTCCTTGAAATGGCAACACTAAAATAACCCAATGCATTTGAATAGCTGGTTATTTATATGGAAGAGCTGTATTCTTTTACTGATCGCTGATTTTTTTTTTTTTTTTTTTAGAAATATTTTAAATGAATACTTAAAATTCAGGTGAAGTACAAACTGGTCTGTAGTGTCTGTAATGTTTTTCGCAACAAAAAAAGGTATAATAATAATACAAATAAAGACCTCCCACCTTTAAAATATAGAATCATAAATATGCAAATTTTGTTCATTTCTATAGTTTTTCTGCTGGACACAAGATGTCTCCTACTTCACTGTAAAGTCCATTCTCAGTGTTTGTGCACTGCTGGCAGAATTAGCTGTGCTAGCATTATGTGGAAAACTCATTGCTTCATGCTCCAACTGCAAACAGAAGTTGACTTACTATATATTTATATATAACTGGTACTATTATGATTAATACCTCAATTGATTTAACTGATACTTGGACTGTATGGCATAAATGGAAAACACAGAAAATGAGAATCCTGTAGCCAGAAGGTGCTCAGTTTGTTTAAAGCTTCATTCTGTAATATTAATATGACAGCTCCTGTGCTGCCAAAATGTTACTGTCTGTTCACTATGTGGGTCATTTGTGGGTTGTACGTGCCTGATTAGACTTCCCATTGTACACCTGCCATAATAGGGGATGGCATAATTGTTGACACAAAGTACGCTGAAGACAACCAATCAACAAATTAGGCCATGAGTAACAGAGGAGGGCTGACAGTTGCTTGTAGTGTTTGTTTCTCTTTGCTCTAATTCTTCACTTTCTTCATCCAGGTACCCAGATCAGCTGCTTTGCTCCCACTAACTTCTCCTGGAGACAGGCCGCATATGTGGACTCATTTTGTTGGGCAGCAGTACAGCAACAAGCTAACAGTTCACCACTATGGCTGCACAAGGTACAGATTAAAAACAGCTACATTAAAGTTATTCTAAGAACATCTAGAAATCAAAGTTGAGATATTTCTTCCTCTAATTCTTCTTTTTCTGTTCTGTTTTCTCCCTCTCTGATCCCTCAGTTCTTCCCATACATCCTGCTCTTACTGGCCATCCTGTTGTATATCCCGGCCCTTTTCTGGCGTTTCACTGCAGCTCCGCACCTCTCCTCTGACCTCAACTTTATCATGGAGGAGCTGGATCGCTTTTATAATCGTGCCATCAAATTGGCCAAGAATCTAGCATCCTTAGACAGCAAAGATGCACCTGAGGACACCCAGAGGTAATCGCACATCTGTTGTATTTCCTTCAGATAACCATGCTGTTGTAGGGAAGGGTTAATTGCCATGTGTCTTTTTCTGCAACAGTGCTTTGGACCTGACAGAGGGTTGCTTTAAATACCCTTTGGTGGAGCAATACCTGAAGACCAAGCGCTTTTCTCGCAGCCTCGTGGTCAAGTACCTTACATGTCGGGGCCTGACTCTGCTGATCCTCCTGCTGGCCTGCCTCTACCTTGGCTACTACATCCAACTGGCCTCTTTCACTGACGAGTTTCCCTGTGACCTGCGTACAGGGTTGCTGAAGAACGACAGCATAGTGCCGTCTGCTGTCCAGTGTAAGCTCGTGGCAGTGGGTGTCTTCAGGCTTCTCAGCTACATCAACTTGGGAGTGTATGTGCTTCTTGCTCCACTGGTGGTGTACGCTGCTCTTGGACCAGCTCGCCAGAGCTCCAGCTTTCTCCGGCCTTATGAGATGCTGCCAGGCTTTGGTGCTTTGGGTGTGGTCACACCCTTCTACAATGATCTCAGCATCTATCTGCTGTTCCTGCAGGAGAACCTGAGCGAACTCAAATCATTTAAATGTCTGCAGGTGGGTCCCAGCACAGATACTTGAAGGTCCAGTATGGTGGTTAAAATATGTCACCTGTGTTTGCTGTTGCTTTTGCTTTCAAAAAGTAGTGACATTGCTTGTTTACAGGTGCTTGAGTTGTTGCAACAAGCTGGTGATGAGGGGTTTGACGCCATGTGCCTACTGCGAACTCTGGGTCAGGTGAAGACTGATGTGTGTGACAGTAAGAAGACGTGCTCACGCAAGAACAACAAAGACACTAATAAAGCTGAAGAATGAGGTAAGGACGGATGGACGCTGAGTAACTTTAGTGAAATAAGCTTTTTATGTGGTGAAATTAACCTTGAGTGTGTTTTGTTTTGCTTCAGATCTCTCTGCCGTGTTGCTGAAGGATTGACCTTAACAGAATCTCTGCTGTGATGGAAGAGACAAACTGATGCACTTACCTTTATCTGAGTTTACAATGGGGTACTGACATGCAGCAGTGTAATCCATATCAGAAACAGAGGAGGCCTATACTCACACAGTCTGTAGTTTGGCCAGCAGACATTATACCTCTCAGATGTCTCATTTTTAATAAATGTGAATACTCCAAATACAAGTGTCTCAGGTCTGAGACGATCTGCTGCAGACCCCTGACCCTGTTTTTTTCTGAAATTAAATTCCTGTTTATATTTTTTTCTATGGTACATACTACTTTTCTCAGGATCTTAAATGCCTTCCAATATAAGCCATGTTCTTTGGACTGAAATCTGTAAATTATTTTCCAGGTGCCAGAGTCTACTTCCTGCCCTTTCTGGTAGAATGAGAAAAGTTTCTGAACACAGAGATGTATTTTTAGTTGAGGTGGTGTAATTAGAAGATTTAGTGAGTGATGAAAGTTTGTCCATCCAAAGTAAGCATAAACTAAACAACCATTTGTTAGGTATTATACGAACCCCTGGAGTAGCTTTGCCTGGATTGTAAAGCATGTGATTATTTGTATGTAAATGTGCCGTTAACAACAGGTGGTATACTGTATGTGCATGTTAATAAGACCCTGGGTTGTCCACACTGATGGACTGATGGCAGCTCTTCATTTGACATGAAAGATGAATTCATATTCTTCCATATTCTTCCTTCCAGGCTTTCATGAGCCCATATACGGTACAATTAAAGAATGTTGTTCTCCCTTCCATCATTATGGGGTCCTTCATTTAATAATCAACATTTAGATATTAAAGTATAATAAATAATAGAATATAATACTTAACATTAATGGTAATACCATATAATAACTATATAGTAGATGCTTTCCCTTCATAAAAGTTTAATGGGGAAGATGAGATGGAAACTTGTTTTGCAAGTAATGTATAACCTTATTGGTCTACTAACCTACATACCGTAGTAGAATCATTCAAACCTGATTATCCAATGCAGAGCCTGTTCCAGTGAGTCCCCCATTGCCGCTTAATCAAATCATCATCCCAATTTATGAGCCCAGTAAAGACAACCCATTGTAAAATATGACTCAGTTCTCAGTATCTAATTCAGGGATAATTGTGATAGACAGAAGTAAAACCTGTACAATCCAATAATAAGCAAACAACTTCCTTGCAATAAATATGATACATAAAAAGCCCCGTCTTATTAAAGTGTTTCTATTATGCTCCTCCATACATGTAAATAAGATGGAATAAATGTTATATACAGCACCTATGAATCTTACAAAATTAACTGAAGCCAAAAATAATATTACACTTTTAACTTCCACAATCTTGCATGAAAACTTCGGAGGACTTACAAAAACGATGCCTTGGTTGTTATTGCACCATAGCATGTCAACAGGGTGACAGGATCCTTCACTTTTCAGAGCTCAGCTTCTTGGCTCCGCCTCCCGCGGCTACAAGTTCGTTGAACAATATGATTGGATGATCGTTTCACAACGTCATCTCTATTGTCCAATGGCGTCCGAGAACCGACGCTTGGTTTGTATTTGGTTGGCGATACGAGCCCCGTCCTAACGTAATGAGAGATTAGTTTGTGCAATCACAATAGGTTTGTTGCACACATCCGAAACATTTAGCCTTACCTCGAACTACATCCTCTTAGTAGTAGCATGTTTTAATCGCCCTCTTATATGCAGGTGAGTCTGAATAGTTTCTGTTTTTCTGTGTTGGGCTATCACATTCTGGCTGAGTCGCTTAGCTAGCTATATTAGCTTAGCTTACAAAGCTTAGCCCTGGTATATGTGCTTTCTCACACGGCGGTCAGCTCTAAAAAGTAGCTAACGCGTTCAATGGCCATCTTTACTTTTTCGTACTTTACATAGATAAATGTAAAAACACGTTTCTGTAGCTTTTCTTTCCGTAGACACAGTATACCGGCACTAAATGCACGAAGCTATAGACTAACGATAGCTAACGTAGTTAGCATTCACTAACCGCAATAGTTTTGTGCCTTTGATGGGGAGGATGTCTGTGCTCTTATGGCAGATAAGGACAGTTTTAAGAGCTATACTGTGTTTTACTTCACCGTTAGGCGTCCCATCCCCATCATCCTGACACAAAGCGGCAGACATGGTAGAGCCAACAACACACAAGTTTGCATCCTTGGTAGAGGAGCTGAGTTTCTGGAAGGAGCAGGCAGAGAGACACCAGCAAAGGTAACATGATCAGTAACCATGGGCAAATCCAAAGAGATTATTTAATAGGACACTTAAATAATAATCATATATTAAAACTACACACTAATACAGTATGTGGAGTGCGTTATTTTTGGTGTAAACCTGGTTTTGTCATCAGGGCTGATGAGGCACAGGAGGAGCTACAGGAGTTTCAGCAGATGAGTCGAGACTATGAAGCAGAACTGGAAACCGAGCTGAAGCAATGCGAGAGTCGAAACAAAGAGCTGCTTTTAGACAACAACCGACTGCGCATGGAACTGGAAAGCATAAAGGTAGAGCACCTTGACTATAAATAGGCCTCTACAGAGCTGGGCAAGCCCTGGTGCTCTAGTTAGTGACGAGGATGATGATGAAGAAGAAGAAGACTGTTCTTTCTTGCAGACAGAGAACCAGAGACACACCCACGCACACAGACAGTCTTCAGCCAACCCAAATTCAGCATATCACTGCCATTGCCACTAGGAAAATTGCTGCCTGCTATAAGGCAGCTGACTGCTATTTTTGTTCAGTGCTCCATGGGGAAGAGAATATTAATGGAAGGAGTGAATGCAGGATTGTGCTGGAAAAACCCTGATTGCTCAAAGGTTGTTGGGGACGAGAAGGAGAAAGAACATTAGCATGGATTTTTTTTGTCTTTGCCAATGTCTAAAAAAATACACAGATCCTTCTATAATATGCTTACAGCTGCTTTGATTAATCTGCCGTGATACTGCAAAGCTGACTTTTCCTATGTCAATTAATTTGATGTCTGTGTGCTGTTTGCAGGAGAAATTTGAGGCTCAGCACTCTGATGCTTTCAGGCACATCTCAACTCTGGAGGAAGATCTGGCACAAACCAGAGCAGTGAGAGATCACCTGCAGAAATACATCAGAGAGCTGGAGCAGTCCAATGATGACCTGGAGAGGACCAAAAGGTTAGGATGTTTTGAGGATGTCACCAATGGGCTTCATCGTCAAGTGACAAACCTAACCGCTAACTCTGACTTTTGTACACACAGAGAGACTTAGACTATAGCACACTAATCCGATGAATCCAGTATAGTGATCTTTTATTGTCATCCTACTTGTTCCAGGGCCACCATAATGTCTCTGGAGGACTTTGAGCAGCGGATGAACCACGTCATTGAGAGGAATGCCTTTCTTGAGAGCGAGTTGGATGAGAAAGAGAACCTGCTCGAGTCAGTTCAGAGGCTCAAGGATGAAGCCAGAGGTATACACGCAAACATGCACTCACTGTACATAGCTTCTCAGGTTTACAAGAACTGCTGATTTCTCTACAAACTGACACTTGCATGCATAGCTCAGTGAATTTTGATCGCTGCTTTAATTTTTTCAAATCCTGTGTCTATTTATGTCCCGTCTATTCTTCCTGTTTATTCTGTAATTGATCTGATGCGTAGTTCTATTCTAGGGTGTATGTATACTCTGTGTACTGCCTAAGATCATAAGAAGGTTTTTAAGGGCTGTATGTGTGTTTTTCAATTAATACTGATAAAATATACTTGAATCCTTTTTAGCCACCCTTCCAGACAGCCACTGTTATTTTACGGTGGTATGAAAATTAACTTGCAGAAACCTTGAAACATGATAAAGTGTGGTAATCCATCACAGTTGATATCATATGTATTTTTATTGTTAAGTTTGGGGCCCTGAGTTATCGAGAACAGGTAGCCTGGCTACAGGCAACAGGCTGACAATGCCAGGACACACTAAGGCTACGTTCACACTGCAGGCAAAAGTGGCCCAAATCAGACTTTTATGCCCATATGTGACCCATATCTGATTTTTTTTTTTTTTTTTTTATGACAGTCTGAACAGCACAAATCCAAATATTTTTTTAAAAATCCGATCCAGGCCACTTTCGACCTCTCTCTGAACGGTTCATCCGACTTTTTCAAGTCACTGCAGTTTCATTGTTGTATTATATGGAACATAATGAAACCGTATATCTGTGTGTCTTGTGTGTTAGACCTTCGCCAGGAGCTGGCTGTACGTCAGAAGGAAAGACGGCCATCCAGCAGCCTGGGCAAAGACATGGATCGAGCAGATCTGCCATGCCCATCAGCTGGGAACCCATCCATCCCCGTCACACCCTCCAAACCTCTCAGCTCATTTGCCACGCCCCCTGCTTCCAGTATCCGACGAGGTAAATAGAAACACTCGGTCTGCAGTAATAACTACAGTGATGGTTAATGTACCACTTTCGTATTAACAGACTGTGTGTTTATTGACTCATGTGTTTTGTTTTAGGTGATGGTCTAACAGGGACTCCCCTCACCACATCAGCTAGAATATCTGCACTCAACATTGTCGGGGAGCTGCTGAGAAAAGTTGGAGTAAGAGATTTAAAAATCATACCAACCCAGTGAATACATGCTTTTACAGACTACTGTGTTGTCATAGGACAGTCTCACTACATGTTTGGCCTTTCTGTGTATGAGCTGACCAACCATTTTTGATATCCCTGTCAGAATCTGGAGTCAAAGTTGGCGTCCTGTCGAGACTTTGTCTACGATACATCTATCAGCAGACCAGCACTTCCGGCTGGTCCTAGTAGTCCTTCTGGTTTAGAAAGAGGCTCTGAGATCCAAGCTACCAGCATGAGCCCCCCTCCTCAGTACGACAGGTGAGGAAAACAGTGGCACAGTCTAAAGTGTAACAACTGGAAAAACTCTTGTTCTTGTGGGTCTATCAATTATTACGTAGAAGTCCGTTATCTTACTTGTACTAAACACGGCAGGCTTATTTTTGATCATAAGCTACTGTTGTAATCAGGCTCTTTTTATGCAGGTTTAGTCAGGTGTCCACTGTGGTTAATTTATTCCTCAGACTTTCAGGATTTGTGAAGTTGCTGTGTTTTTAAAGGCACATTTCACAAACCCGGGTCTGTACTTGTTTTGCTGGGGTTTCCTAACAGATGTGGTGAGTGTAAAGGTATGAAAATCCCTGAATGCAATTATGAAAATAAGAACCAGGTTGAAAAATACAGGGAGTTTAACTTTGATAGGTAAAGTAAAGCATGCTGGTACCCAGTTTTTTCACCCCTTGAGCATCCAGTATACTGCAACATAAACTGCACTGCTGTTGAGTTCATGATGTAAACTATGAAATCAGTTTATTAATATATGCCATAATATTAACTTTGACTAAACCTGTGAAAATGGACTGCTCAGTCGTTGTCCTTATTTTCATACACAGCAACATTTTTACAGGATTATTTTAATCATTTTATTTTCGCGTCCGTAAAGCCAGCAAATACAGGTAATAATAAATATTTAATCTCAGGTTTGCTCATGTGTCTATGTGCTGCATTTTGTCTTGCAGTTTAGTGAAGCGGTTAGAGTTCGGACCAGCTCCTCCGAGAGGAGTCTCCCAGGGTGCCCAGTCTCCGCAGGGAGGTGTCAAGATTCTGCTATGAGAGGAAAAAGGAGGCGAACCACCCCCCTCCTTCAATAATCTGACACCAACCTGTCCTCTCCCTCCTTAATAAACTACAGCAATGGGACCTTGAACTGAGCAGTCTTCCCTTGTCGTCCTGTGCCCTGCTGAACTATTTGAACAAGAAAGCCGCTCTCCCAGCTCCATGCCCCACATAATCAGCGCATGGACTTCTGCTGCCTCGGGCTAACATCACACTATATCTGTCATAGGACCCAGCACTACAGCTTGTGTAAAAGAAGCTACAATGTATCTTCTACTGTGACGCTGTGGTGGGTAGCATCTAAAAAATCCTTCTGTGTTACTGATTAGCTTTTTGTGGCGGATCGGGTATAACAGGGCTGTTGAAACGTTACTGCATCCAGAGAACAGATTTAGGCTGGTTGTTGCACTTGCCCATCGATCATTACATGAATAACAGCTACTGGATGTGAACCAGTTATAGAACTTGGAGTGTCATTTATAAAAAGGTTGGATCATACAAATATTGTCCAGAACTTTAAAGCTTTATCAATGAAAAACTGACCAAACATAAAAGAAATGGAATAGATTATTATTATTATTTCTTTTTTTGTTTTTTTGACATGGAATCTGATGTGAAAACTTTAAAGTCTGTTTTTGTTCTTTATTCTTTGAACTATGGGCTCAAATGATGTAGCACTGAACAACAACGGCATATACTAACATCTGTTGTGGAGGAGCTAGATATCGTAATATTTTTCTTTCCAAGCTGAGCCCCCAATTATTTTTTTCTAGAAGAGATTCGCAATTAAAAAAAAAAAAAAAGTTGAGAATGAATTAGTCGCAGCCAGGAACTGATGCTAGTATTTTAGCCATCGCTGCCTTCATCAGTGTTGTTTCCTGTTGAGTTTGTAGGCCTTGCTTTGCTGTATTTGATAAAACAAGTGAAATAGTTTATTTATTCCCCATGCTGCCAGGCTTCTACAATTCAGATGATACCACTTTTCTTCAGGCTAGTTTAATCTGACATGCCATTCAGTTTGACCCAGGTCCTTCCTGCCACCTCCTTCCTGCCATTGCACAGACTTGTTTTAGCAGACTCATTTCTTCCTGGTATGCAAGGTTTATGAATGTGAAGTTTAGGATTATGTTTTGTTTTGCTTCAGAGGTGATAAGATGTTCATTTGTTGTGCCACAGATTTATGATCTAAGGTTGTCAATAACATTTATTCTGAATTTAGCTGACTGTAGAAGTTAGATGGGCACATGTTCACTACTGAATGTACAGTAATAATTCCCTAATAGGTGTGAGACCTCCTGTCGGCCATCAAGGGTTATATGGTGGGTGAATGGGGGGGAAAGTACCAAGCAATAATAGATTTTAATAGATCAAAGATAAGCACAGCTCATAGTATATTTGTGTAGGTATATAGAGCCTATATTGAATTCCCTTTTCCTGCCTTTTGAAGAGAGATATTGTAAATGGGGAAATGGAGTGATAAACTATATTTGTGACGTCTGTACTTTTCCCTAAAATGTTTCTGGTCAATCTTGAGTTGTCACTACTGCCAACCAGCAGCTCATTAAGCAAATATTACCGTACATATCTCAATATCACGTTTATACAGCGGTCGTCGCTGCAGTGTAGCCTGTGTGTAGGAATGAACTCGTGGTTCATGCATATCAGAACTGGATGTCTTTTCTTTCTTCTCTGCTGTCTAACCTTCCTTCAACTAACACAAGCTGACTGTAACTGTAATCCACAACCACTGTGTACTGGGTGTTTGTATGCAGCAACTGCTTCTGTATTTGGACTTTAAACTGTATGTGCCTGAGGTACTATACCCAACTTTGGTCCTATTGGTTTGCAGTTTTTTTTTTAATTGAACTGAACAGATGAGAATAACGTTCTGTTGTGATGATCCAGTTTGATCTTTGAAGTTACTGACCAAGACAGAAACATTAAAAGGAGAAAATCAAAGTTTTTTTTTAAAGATCTTTATTTCTTGTGCAGGTGGTTCAACAATTAATAGATACGATTGGTGTAATGTAAACATCAGTTGATTACATATAATAATAATATGATCAAATGAGAATGAGTTAGTTTAGGAGGATCAGGGGCTATTTGAACATGTACAGGAAATCCAGCCAAAAATGGTGTTGCTAGGTGCCATACTGAAATCTGGCTTGAGATTTAATTGCTGGGGTTACCCTGAACCGTGTCGGACCTAAAACATTGACATTACTGAAAAGTAATCTAAACACATCCGGGCACAAAAAGGTGCAAATAATATAAAAAGGTGACTTTAGAAAATGTTTAACAGCTAAATATTGGTTTGTTGGGGTACAAACAGGAGCACTGACTGGATGCAGACTGAGTATATCCAATCTGTCGGACCCACTTCAGTGCTGCTCTGAAACACTAACAGCAGTCACAGGCAACAGGACGACAGTCGCTGATAATAGTTACAGATCCATAGATTTACATGATGTCTCTGCTTTAAGTTCAAAGGTGACCCTTTACTTGCAGGATAGCGTGGTAATTAGAGGCGCCTATTCTTGTGTACAAAACCTGGCATAAGAAAGAATCAGTCATTCAGTGCCGTACAAAACAGTGTCAATTTAAAAAATAAAATAAAAGGAACAACAAATCACACAGCAGAGCCACCAAAACAACTCCCCTAGTTGATATCAAGTCCTTCTCATTGTGTGCCAAGAAAAGGTGCTCTGAGACAATAAGTACACTATTGGAAATGGGAGGCAATATATATTTAAGTGATATGGAAGAACTAGATAGCATAACAGGCTTTGAAGTTATTCTCCGTTGAAGTGGCAGACCTTTCCCTGGTAGGTAATTCTGATGTCTGGTAATTTGACGCCCTTTACTCCACGGACTTGGTTCCATTGAAGTCGCTTTGGGAGTCGGCCTCCTCCTCTGAGGCATCCTCGACCACCCTTCGGCCTCCACCCATACGCCGAGGTGTGCTGCCAAAGGAGGGCTCATTTCCACGCCTAGAATGCCACAGAGATGCACACAAGACAGAGATACAAACACAGAAACATATTCCCAGAGTGAGAGGAGTTGTTATGTGACACATATTCCGAGCTTGTTGAGGTTTGTTTGACAACCACTCGGGGTGTTGATGAAATACAGAATGTACAGGTTGTGCTTTGGTTACAGGATAAGCACGCTGGTTATCTTTTGTAACTCATTTGACTCCTGGCTCAGGAAAATGAGTTTGGTTTATGGCAATTAAACCAAGCACTGAGAAAAATATGGCCACCAGTTAGATATAATTGTAATGGAGGGTGACTCAAATATTTCTGTTGTTTCTAAGGAAATCGTGGTAGTGGATGAGCCATATTTCTCTCAGTTACGCTCAATGAAAGAAATGACAGCATTAGGAGTGTGCACGGGGGAATGAAAAGTTATGGTAAGTTAATAAGAAAGGATGATGGGGTAACTTTTAGGTGCAGAGGTACCTGCTGTGCTACTCCTTGGGTTCAGGGTTGCCTCTGGAATAGAGATGGACATGATTGTTTTGCTTGTGCTCAGTAAGGCTACCGTGTTAAACCCTACTACAATCTTAAAGCTGTAAATGTGTGTTTACAACCCTTTTAAGGTGAGTGTACAGACAATGTGCTCTTTAGCACTCAAATGTAGGTGACCTGGGAACAATAACACTATTGGAGTTGATTTATTTGGTTTATTTGAGAAAATATGCTTAATACACATATTTTACGCATACACAGACATCCTCCAGATAGTGACTATTTACCATTCCGCTCTACCTGGCCAAGAAGAAAGATAGACAGTCTCTTTGGCACCTTGTCCTACCTGAGTTTGCTCTTGAGAGAGTTGACCTCACGGCTCATGGCATCGTTGGCTTCAGTGGCTTCATCCAGCTCCCGCTGCAGCTTCCTGCGGGCGGCTGTAGCACGCTGAGACTCTTCCTCTGACTCCTCCAGCTGTCGCTTCAGCTGCTTCATGCGGGTATTTGCCTTTTCCGCCTGGTGTGCGAGTGGAGCACGTATGCAAAATTACTATTTTACTCCCAGCTAACCATCCACTCACAAATACAGACACATTTGTCTGTACACACAAGGAAAATGGACGGACTTGTGTTTGAGCATGAGTGCAGTGAGTGATCGTACCTGGTCTTTGTACTGCTCTCCCTGTTTCCTTTCGTCTTCCACCTGCATTATCAGGTCCTTGAGCTTCTTGTCCTTCTGGCGTATACTCTTGGCAGATGCCTGCTTCTCCCTGAGAAACGAAAAAAAAAGAGTTCAGGGAGGAATACAAAGTGTAACTGATGTTAATTGTAAACACATTCTGGTGAAATATGGAAACCAAATCTATAATAATGGAACTGGAAACCACTGTTTATGAATGGAATGACAAAAAAACTATTTTATTAAACATAATCTTTGACTCTGTCCCTGACCTGCTCTCCTGCTCCAGCTGCTCCTCCAGCTGTGCCACTTTAGCCTCCAAGGCGGAGATGGAAGACTTGAACTTGGACTTGACCTGGTTCTCCATCTCCTGCAGCTTGGCCTTCAGCTCCTTGTTCTGGCGCTCCATCTGCTGCCTGGCGCTCTCGTTCTTCTGGGAGGTGCTGCGCTCTGTCTGCAGCTCGTTGTTCAGCTGATCCACCTGTGGACAGGAATGCATGCAAAGAGAGGGGTGAAGCTTCTGCACTTCTTTGAGCCCTTTAATGGGTCAGGAAGCTGCTACTATCATGTCACCTGCTGTGTGCTCTTCCTCAGCCTGTCGTTGAGGATCTCCATGTTGCTCTGCTCTTCCTCCAGCTCCTCCTCTAGCTGTGAGATCTTAGCTTCCAGACGACGTTTCTCATCTGCCAAGGCTGACCTGCACGCACAGAGCACAGCAGAAAACAGATGTAACCATCACTTGTCTTCTGCGCCCATTTTGCAGACAAAGGGACAGAATCAAGTTCTCCACCCACTTCCCAGAGGAGTTGCTGGCCAGCTCATCGGACAGCTCATCTCTCTCGGCCTCTGCCTGCTTCCGTGCCCTCTCAGCAGCAGCCAAGTCCTAGAAACATATTAGAAGTGAATCCTTTATTTCAAACCTCTGCTCTTAAACAAGTTTCTGCCTTGTGAGGAATCAAATGTGTTACCTCCTGTAGCTGCATGAGCTCAGCCTCCAGACTCTTGGCCTTCTTCTCACTCTCCTTTGCGGTAGCCAACACCTCCTCTCTGGCAGCGCGGGCGTCTTCGAGCTCCCTCTGGTAGTCCTTCATCTGGCCCTGGTGGGATGAAGAAAAACAAAGGAAGCAATAGAGAGGGCGATGAGACAATCAGAGCCAGGATGTGAATTATTATTATACCAGGTATGTTATTAGTTACAGTCCTTAGGCCAGAGCTTTGACCCGATTGTTGATGCAGTGCTGTGAACAACGCACTTCTCAAAGTCATACTGTTAAGTACTCTCTTTGTAGTGGTAGTGGTATTAATTGCATGTGAAACATTTTTTATCTTTCATCAGTTTCCCATAGTTACCCAATATTACACCTGTTTAGTTGGACGATAGTACTATAAATGCTTTATTTACAAGCTTGCAACTCACAAGTAATGCTAAAAACAAACATTTAAATCTAAAATCTAAAATAAAATTGCAAAGTGAACATAATTGTCCTCTCACCTGGAGCTTGCGTAGCTGTTTGATGGCCTCATCTCGTCCCTTACTGGCCGTCTCGATCTGTCCCTCCAGATCTTTCATGTCTGTCTCCAACTTCTTCTTGGCTGCTGTTGCCAGGGTTCTCTGCTTACGTTCATCCTCCAACTCCGTCTCCAGCTCACGAACCTGCAGTCAATATGTATCAATGCTTGGAATACCGACACAGCTGATGTGACATGCTCTGATGGTGGCTCAGATCATGTTTTCATTTGTAGGACGAGATATTTTATGCCTCTTTACCTGTTTGATAAGCTGTCTCTTCTTCTCCTCTCCCATCTCATCTCGTCCCTGGAGGTCCCTCTCAAACTGGGCCTTCAGGGCCTGCATGTTGACCTCAAGGCGCAGCTTGGCATCCTCAGCCGCCTGCAGCTCGTCCTCTAGCTCCTCCAGCTGGGTCTTCATCTCTTCCACCTGGGCTTCCAGGCCTCTCTTGGACTTCTCCAGCTCGTGGACCTGCCATCAATATATTGTCAAATCAACTGCTATATTTTGGTGTAAATAGCACAAAGAAATGAGACTAGTCAAACCAAACTTCCGACCAAAATATCAACTGGTCAGTCTCCCACACTAAGTGATGTTTTGAATGAAATGATGTTCCAGCACTAACATTTTTTCCCACATCGTCCTTGGAGCTGATAATGTCTTCCATCTCCATCCTCAGGGCCTTGTTGGCTCTCTCCAGCTCCTCTCTGGAGCCCTGGGCCTCCTCCAGAGCTCTCGCCAGGGACAGAGCCTTGGTCTCCTTCTCTCTGGCCTCGGCTTCAGCACGGTCTCTTTCATCGGCGTATTTACTGGAGATACTCTTCTCCTCGGCCAGCATCTGGAGACCACAGAGGACAGAAAACCATGAGCTAACAGTAATTATAGTAATTTTAAGTTTGAATGTGTAATTAATTAGTCTCTTTTTTTTAAATGTTAGTAGTGAAAAATGCTATACCAATGTATTATTATAGCAGTTATCTCTTAGTGTTACCAGTTTTTTGATTTAACTGACCTGATCAAACTTCTTCTGCTTCTTCTCCAGGTTTGACACATTCTGTCTCTGGTTGTCCAGGTCCATCAGTGTGTCCTCGAGCTCCTGCTGCAGACGGTTTTTGGTCTTCTCCAGCTTATCATACGCAGAGGCCTTCTCCTCAAACTGGGTGTTTGCTGCCTCCAAATCTCTCTGCAGACGTTTCTTGCCTTCTTCCAGCAGCTCAATGTTTCCTGTCATTTCCTCTAGCTTCTTCTTTGAATCTGACAACTGTGAGAAGAAGAGGAATTTAAGGCACTAAATATGT